ATGAATGGAATCTATGGGATCTACCACCGCCTAGTTGGAATAGGCCAGTAGAGGCGGTACATGCCGGGGATTTCGCGGGGATGACGGGGAGGGAGTGGGGGTAGGAAGCGATTCATCCCTTCCATCGTCACTGGGAGCTCCTCATATCGGATGACTCGGTGGAAGCGGGGGAAATGATCGCCACTGCGGGGGAGGGAAGCCAGGTAATCGCGATAGAAGGAGGAGAGGGTGCGGAAAAGTGTCGCTCGAAAATTCTAGAAGTGGCGACAGGCGGGGATTGTCCCCGTGGCAACGCAGTAGACATCTACCACGTTGCTTCGCTCCCATGCAACACTGAACAACAGAAGATGCCAGCAGAAGGTGGGAGCAGCGGACTGAAGGGAGGCTTGGGGGTGGACGGTAGCGAGTAAACGGGTAGAGTAGAAGTCACGAAAGAGATGGGGATGGAAAGGGTGGGAAGGGAAGGTGATGGGGGTACGGATCTGCTCGAGGGTGAGGAAATCAAGGGGCCGGCGGGACAGCGTCTGAGGACGAAGGCCTATCGCCCGCATCGGTACGTGGGCGAACTGGGGGACGGGTGGGGCTGGAGGAGGATGGGGACCGACGCCGTCTCCGTCGCGTGGTACTCGAGGTGGCGGCTGCAGGGCCGCCATCTTCGGGCCTCGGTGGCTCTGGCTCCCTGGTCGGATTGCTATCGATGCGCAGGCTGGCTTTGCTAGCGGACTCCAGCTGGCGCTTTCCGGAGGCAATCTCTTCGCGCTTTCGCGCCGCTTCCGGATTTTCCGCCTCCGTTCCCGTACGTGTCGCTTCCGCCGGCGGGGCTTCCCACTCGGATTCGGTTCCTTCTTCTTTCTCTTCCTCCTCACTCAGCTCGCCCTCGTTATGTTCACTATGGCTTCCCTCCTCCGATGTTTCCTCGTCGTCGTCTTCTTCGTCATCGTTTTCTTCGTCGTCGTCTTCTTCGTCGTCGTTGTCAATCACCACTTCTTCTGCCCTCGGGTAGAAGGCGTAAGGTGTGATCTCGTATGGCTTCAGATACTCCTGCCGCGATGGTAGCGTATCCTCGTCCCTAGGTTCCTCCAAGCACGAAGTCCACTGAAGGTACGGATCCAAGGATCGCTCGAAAATGTATGGAGCAGGACTGTTGTCACTCTAAAAGTAGATGTCGGGCGAGAGGTCGTCCGCCAATTGCACAATCGGTGCGATGAGCTCCTGTGCAATCAACTGACGGCGACCCGGTTGTACCGATCCAAAGAGGAATCCAATAAGATCTCCTTCCGTGTTAGTCCTCCAACCCTGTATGATCAACAATTCCGGATTCTCGATTCACGTGGGGTGCTCGACAGTGCCCGTCCACTTCACTTGTACTCGGGCCAGGCAGAAAGACAACTCCTCAAAAGTCTCGCGCCATAGCCGCCAATGTCCAGGATTGATAAGAGGGACAGAGAGAGGTTCGAACGAGAAGGAGAGAGAAGGGTGAAGATCGGATTGCCAGAAGGTGGGGAAGAGAGAGGGAAGGCCAAAGATAGAGAGAGGAGCGAGAAGATTGGCGTGGTTTATTGGGGATGGGGGAAGGGAACGAGGGTGGGAATCACAACTGGCCGCTCGCTTGGTGATCGGCAAATACCGTCAAGATCCGATGCAGAGATCGGGATGATATTATACCCTTCCCGGGCGAGGACGTGCTGCCATATGTTGGACACTTGCTCCGTCCACTCGCGCAGCGAGGCCAAGATCGCGGTATGCCTCAGCGGATTGACCGAGCTGATGTCGCCGGTGAATCCCGCCGCTGTGGTGACGTGGCTCGTTCTGGGACCCGCTCGCCGATGAACTGCAGTAACCTCTGCGAATACTATCGTGTGAGGGCTTCCTTCTATCCGAAACGCGGCGGCGGCACAGATACCTTCATCACAGAAGAATCGCATCAATCGGCGGAGAACCGTATTGAGCCGAAGGTGACAAACTTGCCGAATTTCCGAGATGTTGCCACGTGGCTGCCGCAGCTGTAAGTCAAGAACCTAATCTGTGATAAAACTCATGGCGAGGTCGGAGAGGAGTACGAGGGACAGGAGGAGGGAGAAAGAGGATAGAGGGTTAGATCGTCGTTATTTTCCTCGCTTTCCGAAGGAAAAGAGGGAGGAAGATCGGAAGGAGGAAGGAGACGGAGGTAGGACGTATGCCGGACGATGGGGACGGAGCTGTGACTGGTGCTAGCCTCAGGCACGATGCGCACCGTGTTAGCGCCGTTGGGTCCGAGCTCGACAATGCGAAAACAGCCAGAAAATCTGGGAGCAAGTTTCCGGTCGCGTGCACATTTACGTACCTGCACTAGGTCCCCCAATTTATATTGGTACTGGGGCCCAGCATTCCCGTTCCGAGCCTCATAGCTACGGATCTGTCTACCATGGGCCAGTTCGGTCATCCTTTGCCTTTTTCGGGCTAGCTTTGGAACGGCCCGTTCCATTAAGTCGGCGTACCTCTTGGCCTTGGCTTTGAGGGCTGCACGCGTGTCTCTACCCCTTGCTTCGGCAATTTTCGAGTTACCCCGGTAATCGACATAGGGGAGGCTATTAGTTCGAAGCTGAAAGGGGGTGAACCCCGTAGAGTCGTGAGGGGTGGCCTGGTGGACGCCGACGATCTGGTATACGATTTCGGGCCAAGGACGCGTGTCGTGTGCCGATAAGTTCCTGCGAAGGGCGGTTTTAATCATACGGTTGGCATTCTCGGCCAACCCGTTTGACTGGGACACGTGGGGTGCCGTATGTCGGAGCGTGACGCCCCTTCGCGGAAGTAGTTCTTCCACCTCACCTTTAAATTCAGATCCATTGTCGGTTAGAATTTCTTCCGTATCTAGATGGGTATAGAGGAACCGTTCGATGTACATGGCTATTTTTGCGGCCCTTCGGGTCTTACAAGGATAGACTTCGATATACTTGGAAAAGTGGTCGATTAAAACTTATAAAATAGAATATTCACAGCGGTTTGGGCCAGGGGGCACGTCAATATCTGTCGTGTCCATACTGACTCGCTGGAAAGGACGCTCTACTTCCGTTGGTACGATTGTGTTTGGTCCCCGTATAGGGGCGCGATCAGCGGCACAGATCAGRCAGTTAGCGACAATGTATTTGACATCATCTCGTATATTGGACCAGAACCATCGGTTCTGGTCTACAGTTGCCTCCGTGACACGTATCGCGAAATGAGCGGCCTGTTCCTCGTGAGCAGATCGGATCCAATCGTATCTCTGAAAGGGATGGGGAACTGTCAGCCACAAACCCGATCCGTCAGTTTTACGTTTTTCCAAATAACCGTTAATCCATCGATAGTCTCGAGATCTCTCGGTCGCCCTACGTCTGTCGCGTTTGGTGAGGTGGCCCAATGATAACCCCGCTAATTTTGCCAATAAAATTTTATCTGTCCAAACTTTCGCTCGTCGGTATTTTTCGTCGTATTCAGGGCCGTCCGTATGGGCGGCCTCGAATCGAACCTCCGTGGGGAGTTTGTTCGTTCTACGTAGGGGGCACCTCCATTCCTTGCTACTCTTCCGATATCGTACGCAGGTTCCGTGCGCACGGTTGACACACGTGGCACATTCTACCCAATCGACAAACCCAGTTTCAAAGGGATGACAGTCGACCCCATAAACCCGTGCAATGCACGTGGAAAAATAACAGAATTTATCGGGGAGGGTGACAAAGAAAGCTGAGGAAGTAAGAGGGGCAGAATTAGTAGGAGAAGAGGGGGTTGTGAAGGCAGGCGGGGTAGTCATGATGACAGAGGGGAAGAGACGGGACTGAATTAGTCTGCGTGTGACTTACTACTTCGACAGGATCTTCACTTGGCCGTACCGAGGCCCGATCTCCTGTTTTGGTTCGTTCCACGGAATCACCTCTTCACTCTTCAGAACTTTCTCTGGCCGGTGCAATCGTGTCAATCCGTCCGCGTTCCCGTGTCTCTCGTGCTTCCGATGACGGATGTCAAAGTCCATGCTCTGCAGCACCGTTGCCCATCGCCCTATCATGCCCGAGTAATCCTTCGATTTTTTCAGAGCCAACAAGGGCTCATGATCAGTTACCAGGGTGAATCTTCGTCCGTATAGGCAAGCACGAAAGCGACTGATTCCCCAGAGAGCCGCATAGCATTCTCCCGTCGGAGCGGCGTAGTTGTGTTTGCAGGCGGGCACTGATTTGGACGCATACTCCACCACACTCTCGAGTCCGCTTGGTCCCACCTGGGCAAGGATTGCCGAAATCGCCTCTGGCTGCCAGTTGGTGATGAGAACAAAAGGTTTTTCGGGGTCCGGTCTTATAAGGACTGGAGCCGAAATACGAGCAGCCTTGAGTTTGAAAAACGCTTGATCGCACTCCGGCGTCCAGATCAACGACTGATCCTTGCACAGGAGATTTGTGAGGGGTCCCGCAATCGTCACGAAGCCCTTGATAAATCTTCGGTAATACGAAGCTAGGCCCAGAAAGGCGCGAACTTGCGTGATAGTGGTAGGCACTGGCGCGTCTCTGACAACTGCCACCTTGTGCGGCTCCAGTTGGAGTCCCTTGTCTTTCACCACATGTCCTAGGAAAGAAATGGTGGTGAGGAAAAATTGACACTTCTCAAGCGCCACCTTGAAACCTGCATCTCGTAACTCATGCAGTGCCCATTCGATGTGCTGCACGTGTCCCTCGTAGGAACTCGAATACACTAGGATGTCATCCATGTACACAATCACGCAGTAGTTGATGATGCTCTGATCCAAACGAGTCTTCCGTACGAAGTTCTGAAAAGTCATGTTCATGGCCCGCTGAAAGGTCGCAGGGGCATTGCAGATACCCATCGGACATCGAATCCACTGCCACGTGCCCTCGAAAAGCACGAACGCTGTTTTCGGTCGATCTTCCTCTCGGACAAAAAGATGATGGAACCCATGGCGAACATCAAACTTGCTGAAAAATCGAGCACTCCCAATCGCATTCAATAACTCATCAATCCGGGGGAGGGGATACACATCTTTAATCGTGATGTCATTCAACTTTCCATAATCAATGCAAATGCGAATCCCCCCAGCCTTCTTGGGTACTATCACTATAGGAAAAGACCACGGTCCTATAGCGGGTTCGATCCATCCATTAGCTTCGAACTCCTTAATCTGCTGAAAAGCGGCCGCTCGCTGAGCTGGCGAATATCGGTAAGGAACACAGCTATTGGGTGGGTGGTCTCCCGTGAGAATAGCATGCTCAATTACATTAGTTAAACCGATATCATTGTCATGCATGCTCAGTATTTCTGCGTAACCATTCAATACACAGACTAATGACTTCCGAAATTCCGCAGGAACGTGACTCGGGAGAGGGATCGTTGATTCCCCGGAGATATTAAGGGGCACGTCGATCTTATCAACCGGTCGTTCCCGCCGCTCATGGACACTAGAGAAAACGAAACTACTGGTGCGAACATAAAAGACGGTTGCTATCATCTGGGGCTCAGCAGGGCTGATCATCTCCGTTTCTTTAGTTTTAGCATCAGTTTCTGAGTCAACCGAAGTTGGTTCCACAAATAGTCATGTTAGATCCGTCATTTCTTGCATTAAATTCGGTACGTCACTTACCGGTGCTTCCGCTTCTCGTTTAATCAAGGCGATGGTGGCTCCTGTCGTTAGTAATGATCGGGGTGGAAAAACAGAAACGTCCAAATATTGTTTCGTTTGCTGATAACKCGTTCGTAAGGAAAGAGCTCCCTCGTACAAGGTGCAAGGGGGTTCCAAATCATCAGCCAGATCGGAGACTTGTAATATGGGTTCCCCGAGGAGGACAAAAGGACTGACCTGGGTTGTTAGAGGCGTGAATGTACTGTCTTCGGAATCCACGTGGAAGCTTCGAGCGGTGTTGGGGCACACTCGAAATTCTTCGGGGGTTTCGTGTTCGAAAAGTTCGACCAGATGCTTCCATTCCTCTTTACTGGGCATCTCTTCTTCGTATTCTCGTTCCCTGATTCCTTCCCCGAGGCACGAGGGGAAGCACTCCTCGGGATCAATGCCTCGGATCATCCCTATTTGGGATGAGTTGGGAACCCGTTTTATCGTTCGGGTGGAAACCCGCAAGGGAACAGTCTGAGGTTTTCCCCCAGTTTGTGTGAGCACTTATTGCTTCGAATCGAAATGCAGTCGTGCGCCTACCGCCATTGCCCAAGGTAATCCCAACAATACAGAATAGGAGCGTACATCTATTACGAGCGCGTTGACAAGGACGTGCACTCGTCCTACTTTTATAGCCACGTTCTCGATAATACCTACGATATTCATTGCCTCCTTGTCAGCAGAGACATAGTTGTCTTTGCTAGATTGAGGAAGAATGGATCCAAGTCGTCCCGTCTTTTTGACAGTATCTAACGATATGGCTACTGCAGAAGACCCTGTGTCGATGAGGGGGTTAAACGGCTTACCCCAAACTTCGCAGTCACATTCCGCACTTTTTCATAGTACTGGTGGAACTCGTACGAAGTGATCCTTTTCCGCTAAAGAGATGGCGGCTACGCGTGCGGCTTCGGGTTCAGGTTCTTTTGTATCTGGCTCGAGGGGTGCAGCTTCCTCACCTCCTTCCTTCTTATTCAACCTCTGCTGTATGCGCTGATAGGTGAAGCGCTTTTGATTCTTCTGGCAATATTGTAGAAGTTTATCGTTCGCCGCTTCAGATATGGTGAGCAGATGTCCTACTGGGATAGGTACACGAATATCTAATTGCTTGAGCGTTTTTAACACATCAATATCTCTTGTCCGAAACTGCGGTCCGGGATTGGATTCGCGATCGACCCATTCGAGATCATCATGGGCCGATCGGATCGCTCCGATCATTCCGGCGAGATGAAGATACTCAAGGGGGTCGACTATGTTAGCAGTGTTAGAGGAGGAAGCTCCTGATGTCGACGTCATTGTCGTCGAGGGGGAAGGCTGCTCCGGGGCGTATGCCACGAGTTCTTTTCCTGGATCCGTATCCATCAGAGCGGCCACTCGACCTTGATTAAGGGCGACGGGGGCCGCAGCAGGAAGGGGTTGATTACGTTTCGGCTGCCGACAGTCTCGAGCAAAATGCCCGGGCTGTTTGCAGTTGAAGCATTCGATCTTTCTTGCCGAATTAGCAAACTGGGGAAACTGAGGGGAAAATCCTTGAGCAGGCGGAGCAGGTAAGAGTGGAAACGATGCGGGGGCAGGCCGAGCAGGAGCTGGGATAGGCTTAATGAGTCTGGTCATTATCTGTTCCAACCGTTCCATATGAGTGGCCTGCATTTGGATCAAGTTGCTCATCCATTCGGACTGCTTGGTAGTAGCCGTATGGATCATCTGGGCAAGGTGTAGATTGGTTACGGTCGGCAAGGGGGGTTCAGATGAAGGTCCGCTTCTAATGGCTGCGATCGATTGATTCACCGGGGGAGATGAAGGAGAAGCAGTCGGGATATCGGAAACGATTCCGCTGGGAAGGAAATGGTCGGGGCGGGGATAAAATCGTTCGACCGCCTGCAACCACAATCGACTTTTAGCCGTTACATCCCGTATGGTATCCGTAATGTCTTCGTCTCCGTGGCTGATATATTTTTTTGTATCGGCCAAGTCTAGTTCCAACGCTTTAGTAATGATAGCCGATAACTGGGTTGTTTTCGGCGGAACCTTTTTCTGCAGTTTCCCTTTCAAAGTCGGACTTCGAAGGTGATCAATAAACAAATCTCGAGCAGATTTCTCGTCTCGCCCGGATTTATCCAATGTGGTTTGAAATCGATCAACGAAATCGGGTAACAGTTCCCCTGGTCCTTGGGGTCGATTTTTTAGCACATACCAGGTGGCATCTTCACTAACCGTGTCGATTCGAGCCAAGAATACATGCTTAAAAGTCTCCCAATCTACCCATGTATGCTTTATGAACCAGTCGTGTGATGTATTGCGGAGTAGTAAAGTCAGAACACGGGGAAGATCGGTTGCGCTGTAGTTTTGAGCTTCGACAGCTTCCAACCAAGCCTCAAGATGGGTATGGTTGAGGAAGACGGGGAAGGGGGCAGGGATGCTAACGATCACCCTAGTACCGTCCACCATTGTTGCGGGTGCAGCCGCTCCAGACTGAGATCTGGTTACTGGGCGATCTCAACGAGCTAGTTGAGGGTCTCTACTACCTCTCGCCAGTTCGACTTACTATCATCAGAACCGACACGTGTCGGCTCCGATACCAACCTCACGCCCTGTGCTGTCTCTCGTTCGGAGTGTTAGCTGTGCGGAAAAGAGGCCCAAAAAAGCAGCAAGATGGGGTGTGCCAAGGATTTTTGGAAATTGAGTGTGGGGACACAGACGGAACTGAAATCCCCCGTGTTGGTCCGATGGAGCAAGTCGATCGTTTTGGCGCGTCGCAAAAATGCGCGCGCGGTAAAGCGGGAAGAGAGGGAACGATCCAAATTCAATCCAAAAAGTATTGTCGTGCCTCCTACCGGGCTACAGCCCGTCGTTTATAACAGAAAGGCTTGGGCACGCTTCGCGTGTCTCGCTTTTGTATCAAATCTCGTCGTCGTTCGCTGGTTAGTTCTGAGTCTGACGTGGAGGGTCTCAGCCGCGTGGCTCTTTCTTTATGCTCGTCTTCGCTCCGCACACGGTAGTGGAAACCCCTGGACTCGTAGCGCTCAAAACGCTGACATTCGGTGCACAGAGTGCGCGGCCAGTGGGGTTCTACCGTCGTCCACGGAATGACAATTAACTCGTTAAATGGCAACAATACCGAGTAAGGTGGGAAGTGCATATCGATAATAACAAACCCGGCTTCTACAAACCCAGAACAGCGGTTGGCCAGAGGGAAGTAATACTGCTCGCCGATTTGTGCAACGGCTTCTCGTACGTCCCACTCAAATACACGTGTCCTTTCCTCACTATAAGGAAAAGGTCGCGTTGGGATGGGAGATACGGGAGGYTGGCGCCCAACCGAAGGGTACTTGTCAGTCCACATGTCAATCAATCACAAAATATCATGAGACGTCATTAAGAACAAAAGYGRTTCGCGCGTCCTCCAATCAATCTTTTTGACACAAGAGAGAGAGAGCAAACAMAGATCAGCTTGATCACGCATATGGCTACGGGTCCGATCAGTTCAACACAACGTTGGTCCCTGGGCGCCTTGTTTCTCAGGGCCGCCTCGTGGCTCGGCTGCTGATGTCGTGCAGCATAACGCAGATGGCATGCGTAGTGCAAACACAGCTACAGATCTAAACACTCTTGCATTCTCGAACAAAATCCCGACGACAATCGTCTAATCAACAAAAGGGTCACATATTCCATACATGCATTCACTGTGGAAGGTGCGAAAATAAGACATGCACCGAAAAAGATGGGTCGCATTGCACAGTACACACGCATCCACCGTTCACAAGACAAGAARGCGGGGTCCTTGCGTAGTAGGGTTACCCGGGAAACTAATGGAAGAGTTCCGGAAGAAGTTCTTTTACGCAAGGGAAGCGCACCGATTTGCTCCTACTCAGGAGAGAAAGCGAGAGACAATCAATCGAGACACATCACTATTCAAAAGTAGAGAAAGGAGAGAGGGGGGGGAAGAGAGAGAGAGAGAGAGAGAGAGAGAGAGAGAGAGAGAGAGAGAGAGAGAGAGAGAGAGAGAGAGAGAGAGAGAGAG